AATGATATATTTTATCATAAGCGAGATATGTAGAACCCAATAGTCAACAAGATGTGTTCCATCTCTTAATCGATGGTCATTAAATTTAGTTTTATGCGGTAATCCTTCCTTTAAAAAAAATGTGTAGTCGCACTGTTGAACTTGATGAAACAACAGATATACATGCGTGTAACATAGAATTCGCTTGTTAACGTCGATAATGTGGCAAAATAATGAATAATTGTGCGAATCAACCTCTATACAAATTGATTCATATGATTATAAGAGAAGATACAGGAATTCAAATCTTTTCTTTGAAAATAAATACTGTTATGTCATCAGCTTCATCTCGATAATGACAATCAAATGCTATCCATAAAATACTCAACTTAGCATGTCGCCAATGTCCCTAGGCTATCCATAGAATGACTGAGCCGTTCAACTAAATTACAGATCGCATAGATTGTATTCTAATTTCTCGTTTTTTTATTAAGTTATTACTTAGAACTGTTCATCTTCGTATCAATGGAAGTCATGCATCACAATAAACTTTGTTTACAACAAAATTTGATCATGAACCCCTCATCTAGATTAATATAGTTGTTTTATATAACTAAGAACTCGGTCGATGTTTTCAATTATTCCTTAACAATGCGAGCAATCTATCTATTGTAAAACAAACATCAGAATAATATTAAAATAATATATTTTATTAATATTATATCAAAACCAAATTACAGAAAACAGCATGAAAACAGCGAATTTGCTATAGAACCAGTTGTATATTTTATAAAATTCTAAATAATAAAATTTTCTTTTTGATTGGAATTTATTCCTATGGTACAGCTCCAAATTGATTCGACTTTCTCGTATTAATTAGTTCGACAAAAGAGACATGGCTTACACCATACAAATGAATTTGATGAGTTCTCTTTTGTTTGGCTCCACTTTGAGAGAAGAATTGATGTATAAAATCATATTCTTCTTTAGAAGTACTGATTTCAGACAGATTGAAATAGAACAGTCGAGAACGAAGAATGAATCGTGTTTAAAGCAATTTTTGAAATGTATGCATTCGAATTCGATTTGAATTACATTTTTCTTCTATGTTATATGCTATAAACAACATTGGTATCTATTATCTCTATTATATCGACATATGATATACCAAGAATCAGTTGACCACAAAATGTTTGCAAATACAGGTGTCTAAGCTATTCTCGTAGATCAAAAATCAACATCTCGATATAAATGATCACATGATTAAGATTGTAGTCAATGTATTTCTAATGATATAAACATGACAGTTAGTGTTTGATGAACAATTATAGTTTTCAAGTCATAATCTCCAAAAATAACTGGTGCAGATAAATTCAATTCAAAATTAAATAGACGTCGAGTAGCTAGTCGAAGAGGTGATCACTCTTTAACTGTTACAGAACCATAGAAAACAGTGATGGATTGATGAATAAATGTTGTTAATGCCAAAAGTTCTGCTATATTTTTCACGAGTAACATGTTTGATGTACTATTCTCTGTGTTCGCTTGAAATTTGGATTGATGTAAATCTCCTGGCAAGATGAAATTTTGATTGTGCGTTCATGAAGATTATTGTGTTTGAATTGTAATTAAAGCATGAGATAATGAAACAGTTTCAGATGCATTTACCAAGTGAATAGTGGACGACGTCTTTGTATCAACGCTAGGATAATAAAATTTGCGATCGACTATATCAACATATCATGAAGATACAACATCTCAAATAGCTAGTACTTCTGATGCTGATTTCGAACAAACTCTGATTGAATTACATAAGTCCAAATTTTTGCAAATAAGCATGATATATGAACATCGATCAACAAAGCAGTTTTCAAGAGAGACGAAAAGGAAATCATCAACCAAATAAAATTTTATTTGTCTATGAGGATTAGAAAAACGTATTTTTGTCGCAATGTGTAGAGATCATAACTCATTTCTGATGCTCTTTTGGTTCCCTTAAATGTATCCGTACACATAAAATTTAGGAGTGCATGAATAGGTTTTTTTTATCCCATTCGATTATTACTGTTTGAACTACAGATGATTGAATTTGAAGAGGTAAGATGATGTCTGTTCTGGTGACAACTGTGATTACTGTATATATACAGATGCACATTGTTACTTGCAAAAAGTCATGAAGCACAGGAAGATCTGTAGTATAGGCACAAGCTTACGACACGTTCATTCAAATAAGTACTCGAATGAATCGTTAGAATGCACACAGGATCATTGACAATACTAACGAAGAACAATATTGTTTGCTAATGTTGTAGAATAACCTATATCATCGTACGTCTAAAATTTTTTAAAATAAGTGTAAAAACATGGTTCAACAAATTAATCCAATACTTTAAGAACGTTTACGTATGTACAATCTAATCTAAAATATGATATAAACTTAAGATTTATAACTAATCGTCAGATCTGATACTGGAAAGAATTCATTCGATTGAGTTCTTTCATTGAAAACGGCGTTTGTATTGTTCAAACTCGATAGTACATGTACATTCACAGAGCATAACGTAATAATGAAGAAAACCAACTGATTTCTACGTCACAAAAGAACTATGAAATATAATCAATGCTTAATACGGATATATGTTATGATGATCAGTATAGATATCAGAAGACTATTGAAGCATTGTGGCATTGGCATACTCTTGATTCTTTGTGAGTTCTGTTGTTCTATCTTCTACATAACATTTAGCCTCTATTACAGCCTCATCAATCGTTATTTGATTCTCGCTAACAAGGACTAATAACATAAGTTCACTCGCTGCCTTAATACATTTATCCAATGTCATATTACAAATCCATTCGAAACAATACAGAAGATAATTATAACATTGTCTATATACTTTCTCTTTCATAGTCGAATCAAATTATGTTAACGAATCTGCGAATATTTTAGTCATAACTGAATGGCCAGTTTCATCAATGAATTCAAAATTAACTGATGAGTTCTCTCACTTTAAAAAACTGCACATGCACATTTTTCAGGTCTCAGAAAGTTTCCTTGCACGTCTTCCTTTTACCTTTTTCTCTTCGGGGACATCTCTAAATCATGCTAAATATTCCAAGAAATATCGCCTGATATTGTCTCTTCATTGAGAATTTGCAGAAAAGAAGATTACGAGCAGATATGGAAGGATTGTGATCAACAAGGTCGAGCTCCTATTCAGCTACATTTGGTAAGTCATGAATAAGATATAATATTTTACGTCTATCATTACTACCAAGAAATAAATAGCGAACAGGAGAAATTTTACAGAATATCATATCAATATATATATATATTGGTTTAGTATTACTTATAAGATAAGTAAATGTAGAAAATTCTCTGAATTCATATTCAAAAATAATACATCAATACAGTGAAAGATCATTTTTCAGGCATTTAATATCTGCTTTTACTGTTTGGTTGAAACAACACTGTTGAAACAACAAAGGTTACATGCAATGAATTCTTTTTTTTTCTGTTAATTACCAACTCAATGAAATTGAATATTGAAATTCAAATGGCAAAAAAGAACTAGTTACTTAATTACATATCGAGCAAGTCTCAACAAATAGAATAAAATCAAATAAAATCGAAAGCCAATGACTTTGAATATGCATAGCATTCATTCATTACTCAACAATTATTTAAAAGATAAGAAATATAAAGATATGTCGTAATTTATATATAAACAAGCGACATCTACTATTAGGCGTTTTTAATTATATTACAAACAAAAAAGAGTATATATTGATTCTCTATTTGAAATTTTATAATAATAAAACTATTTTAACTATAAGATAATATCGAACCATTCGAAAAGCCTCACAATATTATTCTAATTGGTCAAGAATCAAAGATGTAAAAAAGTGCACATACTCATACTCATACTCACACTCATACTGACATGCAAAATCGGTGTCGTTTAAACTGTTGAGTCATGTTTTTTTCTATAATTTTTTCTCGGCAATTACTATTCGTCGATTACAATAAATTATTTGATTGTATTGAATAAAAAAATAAAGCATAATATATCATTATTAAAATAATATTGTGTTTTTTTATTGTTCTAGATGTCTTGGCACAAACGCCATGACTCTACACTGGACACGACATCGTAGCGCTGAAAGCTCAGACGACGAAATTAGCGTTGAACTAGCGGTTAGTGTTTTGTTTTTTTATATTGATTCACGTGATGTCCTTGACTTTTTCTATCAAATTATAAAAAGTTTATCGGAGCTGTTAACTATATATGACAAAAACAGAGCCGTTACTCAACAGAGAAAAGAAAAAAACGATGAAAACTGCTTAGCTCTTTTCCTTCTTACCATCGGAGGATATACATCGGGCTTATTATCCTATTTTCTTTTATCGTCATCAGTATTGATCGGCATATGTGAATCGTTAAATAGAAACAGAAAGAATTTTGATGATGATAAAATAATTTTCTATTGATTCACTTATATGATTACTGTTATTATCCTGCTTAGAAATAATGAGAGTTATTGACGAGGTGGAAAATATCTGTTTATATATTAGCATTTGATTAATTTATTGTTCTTTTCCAAATAGGTTCTTCGACAACATTGGAAACAAATTTTACAAATATTTCAAAAACCATTAATCGATCAAGACGATATTAGTTGTGTTTTATCTCATTTTCAACATGCAGTCACATTACTTACCGATGAAGTGGCTAGTCAGGATCGGCCCGGTCCTATACTTTTATATTTTGTTGGTGAAGCTATTCTTGATACATTCTTTGTCTGGTCATTAAGTTGTCCCGAATATGCATCCGAATTAAAATATCATCAATTACGTTGTTTCGAATTTCTTCTTAGTCGATCACAACATGAACTTCTCTTTCATAAACAAATTGTAAAATAAACAAATAAAAACTTTTTAAAATTTAATTTGATCTATTATTTTAGTTTAAACCATTACTCAATCTTCTTCGATCATGTGAATCTTCGTTATCATTAGACCTTATTGAAAAACATATGATTGTTGTGCTTAATCAAGTAGGTTTTCTATTAAAACGCGAAACAAATATCGTTATAAAATTGATTATTTGATAGCTGCGAAAGATCGTCAATCTGATTGATCAATATTTGAAATTTCTTTTTTTTTTGTAGGTATGTGTTAGTATAACAAAAAGTCCAGAATTACTTGAATTTTGTTTCGACATCAGTGCTGAACATGGTCCATCTCGATTTGTTATATTTTCACTTTTAATTCCATTTGTTCATCGTGATGGACTTGCCGGTAAGAGAATTTATCAAAATTCAATTTCTTAGCTTTTCCAAAAGACGAATGAGATTCATAAATATAAATAAAAGATTGCAATTTTAAAAAGACATATATATATTTAGACATACCATCAGTACAGGGTATAACAACAGGTGGGCAAGTCTGATACCACAATATAAAGACTTTTTTAGAAATGAGTACAGCATGCTTAGTTTATTTTTTCTTGATGAGCAATGTTTTGTGATTGAATTGTGTTTGCATTTTTTTACATTTTTTCTCGATTTCATTTTCTAATATCTTTTTTATTATAAATAGGTCAACAAGCACGTGATGCTTTATTACTGATCATGCAGTTATCCAATCGAAATGAACATATAGCACGACATATAGTTGAAAATACAAATTTTTGTCCGGTAAAAATTAAAAATTTTATTTTTTATTGACAGATGAAAACTTTATTAATGCTATTCGATAAACCGGAATTTTGCCAGTTTAATTTCGACAGTAAAAAGCTTGTCAAAAATCCAGGCAATAAATAGGACAGCTTATCGAAATTATAGAACTTCACTGATATTCTCGCTTCATTCAATTGCAGCTCATGACTGAACTGGGATTTCGACAATCTTTTTCTATTGTGGAGATTCCGACGGAAATTGCACAAAAGGGTCGAAATTCAGGTACTGAAAATCCATATAACCATGCAATCCCAGTGAGATTAAAATATGAAACATGATGCATCTATTGTTAGTAATCAAAGAGAATATTTTATTCTATCTATTTTAGAACACATTTCCTATTACTTAATCCTCCAGAAGTGCAATCAGGAAATAACTCACATATTATAACGAGACGTTATTGATGCACGGTCTATGGAGGTCTATATTTTTATCCCTATACTTCAACACTTCTTTTAGATTGTGTTTCATAAAATAATTATTTTTTTTTTTTCTTTTCTTAGATTCTAGCAACTGGTTTAAGTGCCCTTTATTCTGATTTACCACATCGTTTATCAACAAATAATGATGAGTGTTTTATATTAACAAAAAAAGAATGGTCAGAAAGTCCAGCATTAGCGCAATTTATGAATTCTCTTCAATTTTCTAACGATGTTATTCAAGTAGATATTTTCGTTATGAAGTAAAAAAACCAGTTGAAATAATGTTTGACTTTTTCTTAGATTGCTCATCCAACAATTGGCCATCATTTATTACAATATATTTATCATGGATTTCTTGTACCAGTTCTTGGTCCAAGTATTCATCAAGTATGTTGAAAAAAAAGAATTATATTGACAGCATGTATATTGCTTAAATAATTTCACAATAATAAAGTTAACACATAAATGTGTGCGTGCGTGTGAGCAAATTTCTTCTTTCATAGGATCTTCACGAAATACCATTGAAATTTTCTGATTTACAACAATTTTCGGTAAACAATGGGAAATTTAGAAAAAAAAGATATATATATATATTATATATTTTATTTTATTTGCTGCTTCACATTTTATTCAATTTATTTTTGCACATTTTGCTATTGCATGATTTTTTTTTTCAGACTAAGCATGATTTTTATTTATTTATTTATTTAATTTAATTCTATCATAGAAATGTATATGTATGTATATATTTTGTATAGAATACAATGGATGAAGTTATTGCAGCAACAGCTTATTTGGATTTATTTTTGCGTACAATTCATGAGCCAGCTTTATTAAAAGTATTTTTAAAGTTTATACTATGTGCAAGAATTGATGAAATAAGTTTATTAGATACATTAATACAGCGAATTAATTATAATACAAAAGTAAGAGAATTTTGCAAAAAAAAACAATTTTTTTTTGAAAAATTTTCTTTTTTATTAGCTTGGATTAGTTTCATTGGGCTTATTTTATACATTAATTAATCTTAATTGTGAAGATATTATGTATCGTCTCATATTTATGTATGAAAAATATTATTAAATTTTCTTTTTATTCAAACTTTTTTTAATATTAATTTTAGGTATTTGATCCCATGTCGACATGTTATGTGTAGTCAACGACGACACATATCTGATGTAGAAATTTATGGAAAAAATGCTGAAAGATTTCTTTCATTGAGACCTTCATTTTCAAATAAAAATAGGTAATATGAACAACCTAGATATAAAGGATACAGTGACGCGATAACTTATTCAACTGTCGGACGTTGTTCGACTTTGTATAAAGGTTAAGAGTAGATTTCAGTAAGACTATGAATGGCTTAAAAGGATTCACGCCCATGGCTTACTATTGAAGAGTTGTAGCGTTTTATTGAAACTTTTACTAAGAGCAAGGCATTTTCGAAAAGTCCAAAGCTAAGAGTTTGAAACTGATATTATGTCTCTAGGTACGTGCAATAGCTATTAGATTTTTCTGAAATTTTTAACGAAAATTAACATGTTTTTCTCGAAACATTTAATATCCAAGTAGACTTAATTATTGTGTCCTCCAATGCTAAGTTGCATCTCATTAATGTTTGTTGAAACTTTAAGGACAGTCCAATGGCCACCAAACATACCTATAGATATAATATCAGCTCGAAGCACTTTGTTTTGGATCTTTCGAAAATGCTTTCCTCTTAGTAAAAATTTCATTAAAACAGCCATTAATTCTCCAATATCAAATGACGTTCGACAATTGAGTATGTTACCTTGTGAGTAACAAGACATGCATCTGTAGTACAAATATATGAGCCCGAACTGTACTAATCTGAAGAATTAATCGAAAAATTATAGGTCATTTATCATTGACTAAGGAAATCATTTTTTTAAAAATAACTTGTGAAAAGTCACAGTTCTTTGTTAAAGTCAGTTGCAAATGCTTCAAAATAATTTTTGACAACCTTTCTCTTATGAATATGAACTATGAACACTATTTTATCAGTGGTAAAAATATCAGCTCATATGAGTGGAGATATCCAAATTTTTCTTTGTTTAGTTACTTTCTGGACATCCTATATATATATATATATGCTTCTCAAAATGACTGACATGTTTTATAAGACAGATAATTTGATCATATTTTTATACCTTAGGGATCCCCCTGATAATTTTTTATAATTAAATTGACTTATATCATAACGAAAATAAAGTAGATAAATATTATTTCTTTTTTAATTGTACAAAAACCTATCTAAACATAATTTCAGCTCATTGAACATGAGCCAATCATCATTTCTAATGAGATATCATCATAAACATTATCAAGCGTAATCGAAGGTGAAACAACAGAGACTTCAGTTTACAAGTATGCTGCTCCTTCCTTGGACGTAACCAAGAGTGGGGTACGCCAGGCTTCGCTCTACTACCACAAGGAAAAAAATGCCATAACTACAATCATTGACATTATATTGCATGAATGTTCTCCAAGATCGCAGAGCATTGCTTTACCACCCACAATCTGCTGATTACGTCATGAATATCTGTAAAATCATTTTGCTTATAATAATCATAGTCCCCATCATTGTTTATGTCATGCCTGTGAAAATTTCCCATTATTACTTAAAAACTGTCTTTCACATTGTAGAAGACATATTTTTCTGAATCACTTTCTAGTAGACAATCTACGAAAATTTTAATCTCTTCCAACTTTAAAAAATTATCAACATTCATGATCATAAAAATAGCTTTACTATAACTTGTCTTTTTGTAGCAATGAAAATTCACAATCGAAGCAAGTCCATGTTAGCTTTCATCAAAATGGTGAATCTTCTAATAATGTTGATCGATATGAATATACATTTGGTGCTTATCTTGAAGTACGATTGCCGATAAGAAAAAAAAAACTCTTCTATTATGTTTCTTTTTTCAGGATGCCCATTTTAGTATAGTTCGTTGTCGTGTTGCTTGTCGTTGTTGGACAGTACCATATGATGGTGAAACACCATCACCAGATACAATCATTGGAGATTCTGATCTTATATCATTATCAAGTAGTCTTTCATCAATACATATCGATAATAATAATTCAAAAAAATCTGATTTAAATCCAAATAATTGTTCAAGTCAAAAGCAATCAAATAAAAATGTAACTGCATCAAATGATTCGGGTATTCATGAAGATGTTCTTGATACAAATTCTCAAACAGAAATCTTACCAATAGTAATAAAATCAACAACAGATGATTTTCAATTACCATCATGGCTTGCTAATGGTGAACCTATACCTGATGAACTTCTTGCTAAACGTTCATTAAATATTCATTCAACATATCCACATATAGACAATAATGACGATGATGATATTGATCCTTATCAACCATCATCATTTTATGGTTTTTCATTTATTGAATTATCTGGTAGCAGTGAAGATTCATGGTCAATACATTCATCAAATAATCTATCGATAGTAAATACAAATATTCGTGATGAAATAAAAACATGTGTAGAAACATTAAATATATGTTTAAATCAATTTCGTGGAATGAATGAACAATTAAATAATAAAGAAACACAGGAAGAAATTGATGAGAATGTTAAAATTTTATTAAATGAATTAATTGATGAAATTGAAAATTTATCTGACAAAGAAGAAATTCAAAGTTTAAATGATCTATCAACTATAAATTCAATTTCATTAGATTATAATTTATTAAATGAATTATTTACTAAAAAATTAACATTTAATGAATATTTAATCTTACTTGATCATCTTATTGATAACAATATATTAAAATTTTCATCTAAAACAGGTGAAGAATTATCGAATGAAATTCTTCATCTTGCTGATGAAATTGAACATTATAAAACAATGATTAAAATAGATAATAATAATGATATTGATCAAAATTTAATAAATATTAATTTAGACAATCAATATCATCAACAATTATTATCAAATACACAATCAAATTATTCTGTTATATCATTTTTACAACAATCAACATCAATGGATATATCTCTATTAGGTACAAATGATTTGTCAAATCAAATACAGTCAACTTTAATGACATCAACTGTTCAACAATCAACAACAACATCTGCTGGAAAAATGGCTGATGTTGGTATGTCTAGTATTATTGATCAATAAAAATCTTTATTTTTTGATCTCAAACATAACCTACGATGAAGGGAAGTCTCAGAAGGTTTTACTTCAGTCAACATATTTTTTAGATTTTCTAACAAAAGTTTTTAATCGAAGTCTGAAGTCATACTCTTATTCATTACTATTGGCAAATAAATTCCACATGACTCTGTTTATGTACAATAAACTTACTATCTTTTTTACAAAAAACTATCCAAAAAGAGTGTTGAGGTATAAGAGTAAATGTTTGAACTCTCCACAAACCCTATATCAGTAATATCTCGCTGTCATTTACGGCCTACTTCCTTATTGTCTTTCTGGAGGATTGAGTGAAAGGTTAATGAAGAAATGCGTCCCTAGATTAGAGCTTCCAGGGTCCGAAATTTTTTGGTCCGCACCTAATTGATGAAACAGTCTCGAACCGAGACTAGGTAGAACCGTACTTTGATATTGGTAACTAGTGCATTCTACATATTTCTCGGACGACTAAAGTTCATTGGGTTCAAAATTTTCTTACGGTGAATAAAAAAAATGTTCGACAACTGTCTATTTGATTTTATGGTTTTTTTGAAAAAATATCTTTTAGTTATAACCTGATAGATTTAAAACTATATACTTTTGTCTATGAAAGAAAATAAGGATTTCTTTTCAAATGAATACAATCTCCCCTTTATTTGAAAGATAATCTCTAGCTATTAAATTTATTATTAGACTATTAAATGATTTATAGGAACTCAACTTTAATCTGTTTACAAATTTTAGGTCCATTTTTACGAACCGTATTTTCCAAGCTAGAAAATATGTTACAAAATTCTTTACATGTCAATCTATTATTAACGGGTATTATAGCTCGATTAGCCCATTATTCGCAGCCATTATTACGTTCGTTGTTACTTAATCACAGTCTAGTACTTGAAACAAATGTTAAATCACTCTTTCAGGTAAAGAATATTTGGTTATTGTTTTTTCCAGTTATGTTTTTTTTCCTGATTAAAGATTCTTTCAAATCTCAAATCAAAACTTGAATCAGTTTCTCAAACATTCAATGATTTCAACAATCTAATTGAGTTAGCACATGATACATTATATCAACGAGAAAATACTGCAAAAGTATGTAGTTTTAATTAGTTATATTTTCCTTTGAAAAGATTTATTTTAAAGGAATTTGATGAAATGCAAAGACGAGCACGTTCTCCATCACGGACACGATCAAAATCTGTTGAACCAGACAAAGGTAAATAAATATATCTATGATGTATTTTTGCTTCATTTTGATTTTGGTTTTTCACAGATGAAGAACGGGTTTTTTTCGAAACCCGACAATCACCTATAAAAGGTTCTTTTTGCATGAAATTGTTTATTTTAACTTTTTATCAATGAACCATCTGTATTTTTACTCTTTCTGCATGTTAAAATATAGAAAATAGTTTTTGTTTAATGCACGTTAATATAAGTTTTCTTTTCTTTTGTTGTTGTAGAGCGTTCATCAAAACGAAGTCGTATATTAGATTTCTTTCGTGGTCGTGTGCGACCATCTGATCAAACAGATAAAAATTCAAATGTGCATAATCAATCTCATATTTCATTTATTGATAAAACATCAATGAAGTAAATCTTTTTTTATTTGAATAAAAATAAAACGATAAAAATAAATCTTCTTTTGAAGATTTATTAATATTCGTGATCATAATCCAACAAATTCAATACATGAATGGGATGATCCAAAAACTCGTAATATAGCTTATTGTGCTGTTATATTTAATGAATTTCTTAAAGAACTTGCTGCAATAACATTAGAACATAGTGTGCAACAATTTGATGATGATCAAATATTTGATGATATATTACCAATATCATTAATGCTTTAATGAAGATTTATTCATGCATTTTCTTTTCTTGTGCTCATTCGAATTGTATTTTATTTTTCTATCATTGGCAATAATATGTTTGTATTCGTTTGTGATGTGTCTATTGTTTGCAATACTATAATAACCATTGATCAATATTGATTTTTTTTAAAGTCTTACAAATGCTTCTTCACTTACTACGTGCATTCTTTTGAATAGAAACTATTTGTTGTTCTTCTTTTTTTTTTGCATATTACGGATGATTATATGAGATTCACGCACTGTCCTTTTCGTTTTTTTTTTATTGTTGTATTCTTATTATTTTTTTGCTTGTACGCATTTATGAAAAGAACAAAGAATAAAAAAATGCACAATGTGTGCTTGATTTCCACAAATAAAATTATTATTGATTTTTTACTGTTAGTATATGTTGAAATATAATACAAAATGAGAAAAAAAGAAATAACTTAAGTTTTTAGAATACAAGTCTTACACATTAATGCTTATGATTCGTTTATTAATGTTGAAAGTTTTTTTTTTATAAGTTCAAACAAGAATATAATTCATTGATGTGCTCTAATATGTACGAGCTCTAAATAATAATTACAATATTGCCGATTGAAATTTCTGACAAGTTTATGATGTCAATTGGAGTATGAATTAAACCATATGAATTTCCATGCAATATTCATCAACTTAGTAGTAAGAGAATTTGCACTCAATTGACAAATAAGTACTTTCACTAGTTTAGTAAAATTGCCAAGTAAACTCATATCGCGTGGCGTTGCTTTGTTATAAGCAATATGAATGACATATGAAAAATTTGGATATTGATGAATACCAAATAATAATGCTTCAATATCATTCTCAGATATCTATCACCACCATTACCATTCTTCATTATCACTTTCATAGTTTTATCTTAAAATGAATTATAATTGTAGGTTGAATAGTCCATACGCACGAAGAAGGTTGATTTTAATTTATATAAGTTGCAGATTTATTTCTAACATGCGGTGCAAAAGTCTTTGCACAAATGTCCGATTGTGTTTTGGACGGATAAACACGTGTTGGACTGAACATTTTGTGATTAACTGATAGCTCATTCTTTCCTCTTTCTAACGATATATAACTCATTCTTACTAGTTGTTCATAACAAAAATGACACGTGACGAAAGAGAAGCACTATCACAACGTATTTGCAACTTCTATTGTGATTCTTCTAATAAATCTGTAAAAACTACAGTAAATTATTTTATAAAACAAAATATTCCACGAAGAACCATTTATTATATATTGAACAAGTATTTAAGATAAGGGACTACAAAAGATCAGCCCCGAAGTGGTCGTCCGCTGAAATTATCCGACAAAAAGCTGAATGATACCGTCAAATCTGTGAACAATCGATCTGGTATCAGTCAACGTAAAATAGAACGACGTTTTCATGTACATCACTCAACTATTTCACGTAATCTTCGAAGGAGAACATCGATTCGTATCAGAAAACGTCGAACGGCTCCAAAAATGGACAGTGAAGATCAAGAAAAACGAGCAAAAACGAATTGTGGAAAACTCTATCGTAAATTGTTGCCTGGTTGTGATCTGATTTTAGATGATGCAAAATTTTTTACATTAACTGGAGATAATGTGATTGGTAATCGATTTTTTTTATTCTACTGATCCAACTATGGCACCTGCAGATATAAAATTTCGAAAAAAGAAGAAATTCGAACCAAAGATAATGGTATGAATGGCCATGTCATCCAAGGGTGTTTCTGGTGTGTATGTTCACAAGAACAAACAAACTATTCGTCAAGATACGTATCTGAATCAATGTATCAACAAAAGACTCCTTCCTTTCATCGACAAGTATCATCAGAATGGAAATTATCTCTTTTGGTCTGATTTGGCTAGTGCTCATTATTCCGAATCTGTGCAAGAACGTTTGAACGAGAAAAATGTACCATTTGTTATTCGTAAAGATAATCCTCCAAACGTACCGCAAGCTCGTCCAATCGAAACAGTTTGAACTCTACTCGAACGAAAAGTGTATGAGAACAATTGGGAAGCAAAAAGACTTGGACGTGTTAGCTCGAAGAATCAAACAGAAATCAAAAGAACTTGATCTAAAAATGTTGCAAGGCATGGTTGATGGTGTTAGAAGAAAGCTTCGAGTTATGTGGCGAGAAGGACTGTATTCAATTTTATGAACAAAGTTTTTTGTAGTATTTTTCGTCCTTTTTCTAATGAAAAAAAACCTAGGTCTTTAGCTTCTGAAACGACTGAACTATAAAGCTCGATATTTGTGCAAAGACTTTTGCACCGCATGTTATTTTTATCTATTCATTTCTGCTTTCATAGAACTAGTCATCTTGCTGCTATTTGAAGAATGAAATTCAAAAAGTAATTTAAATATTAAGATTATATTTCCAGTTATAAAAACATTAAAAATCGAATCATAACGGCTATTAATCAGATATAATAAAAGTAAATATTATTGTTTTAAGGTTTCGATGATGCAAGTCACACAATTTATTTCTTACGTGGAAGAAGTTTATGGTATTTGCAAGAGGGAAACGTGATGCTTTATACTTCACGTACTTTAAGATAATTCAAGATGTATTAGGTTACTTTAGAGATCGAAAAGATCAATTCTAGTTTCGATCTAAGGATCTGTTTGAAACGCTTTCTGATCAGAGCAGGACTCTTCGAATCACGGCTGATGACTTTTCTAGTCGTAACTTTTCACGGATACTTAGGAAAGGGCCAATAAATTTAGCGTTATCTACGAGTAGTAGTTCATGCAAATATTCTGAGTAAATCTAAGGGTACAGTGGCTTGTGGTTTTCCTTCAATGGTTATCCTTTGACAAAAGAGCCGAATCCAGAAGTGTTTCGTCAACAGATAACTGATAATAGGTTCTTTATCAGTTACTTGTTAACATTACGGCGAGATTTCGTTCATATTTCTAGTTACTTTAGAGACTTTAACTACTTTAAAGGACTTGAAAGTACAAAAGTAGCATGCTTTCCTCTGATTATTTCTTAATAAAATTGGAACATATTCAGGTCAAATTAAAGCTCTTACTGCGAAATGTATAAATTGAAAATATAGACTCTCTGAGTGTGTTTATTGTCGTAATAAAAAAAGATTAGCTTT